CCTACTGCATGGGTCTTAAGGATTTGGTAGCAGGGGACAGTGGCAGTATTGATTGCCACCACTCCCCTGCCATCAAATCTCCTGACCCATATGAAGTCCTGTGGGCTGGATGCCACATCTCTGAAGGCTGCATTTGACCTGTGGGCCTGACGTTGAGCACCCTCACCTTAGGGAGACATTTTCAAAAATATAAGCTCCAATGAATTAAAAAAGATATGTGCTCCTAAACTCCTCAGGCGCTTTTGAATATCTCCCTTTGCTTTCTTGTGGTATCTAATTAGAAGTGGGTTTCTGGAGAAGGGATGTGAGGGAGGGAAGGGGAAGTAACCCATTGTATTAAGATCAGGTAATACTACAGAGATGTGGAGAATATCTGAGGGAGAAGCAGAGAAACACAGTACTGAGAATGAGTGGCATCAGTGCAAAAGTGGCTGAAAAACTTGAGAGGTAAAGCTGGCCAAAAAGCTGAAAGGTAAGATCTGAAAAAGCAACCTCTGCAGAATTATGAAGGTAACCTTTACACAATTGTGTGCATTTCTGCCAGTAGCGCTTTACTTTCCATATGTTGGTTTGCTGTTACACAAATATAAAGAAGTAGAACATAGGCTCTCTTGCTCAACTCATCTTCCCCTCAAGGAACCAACCTCTAAGACGACATAATTAACAACATACAAAATACACAACATAGCATTGTACTTACTCCTGCTAGGCCTAACAAAACCTGTTACAGAACAAACCTGGGAAGTGCTTGTGAAATAGAACAAACAAATGTCTGTCATTTTAGCCAGTCTACTTTCCTTTACTATGGACAAGTTTTCAAAGAGTAAGTTTATCCTTCTACATAGGAATCAGGCGTTCAAAACTCTTCTAATGCCATGAATAAAAGAATAATTTAGTATATTGTATTCTGTTACTATTCATGTGCACATTTTTTTAAAAAATATTTAATAATATGCATTAGGAACATGACAAAAGTAGTAAAAAAAGTAGGATACATCTGCAGAGGCTCTTTTCTGGGGCTTCTATTATGCATTAAAAACTAATACAGAGGCTAAAAATGACAAAATGTTTACTTTTTTTTTCTGCAATGGAAAAATTAAAGTGAGTGTGCACTATAAAGGCCAAATTTGAAGAGGAGGGTTCAGTTTACTTTTGCTCTTCTATAATTAGTAAAAACCTCCTGTAACCAAGTCACTGGATTTCTTTACTATATTTACTTAATATTTATATTAGCTTTAAAAACACACTTGGCACGGTCCTGCAAATAATTTACTGTAATAATTTTTTGTGGGATCCAGTCAGTTTATTGTTGACCCCTAGTACATAAAAGGCTCAAAATAAAAAGCCATTTGATTTCTCGTTTGCTGGAAATAAACAAAAAGTTAGACAGACAGAATTCTACATTACTTATATAAAATATTTTACTAATATATCAGTAATTTTTTAATATAATATAGAATTCTGATTTTCAAATGCAAGGTTCAGTTTTGTTGCTTATTTAGAAGAATGGCTATAGGTGAGTGAATGAACAGAATTGACAATGACACTGACAACAACACTTCATAACTAGTTTAATTTTTGTAAAGTTGAATTCCTTTTTAGGCACATGCTCCATGGACAGAAGCTGGGACACTTACTTATACTGTCCTACAACCACCTCAAACATTACTTGAAGGGACCACCTATAGTGAAAAGCAGCCACTGGTGATGCATAGGGAGTATGTGCGGGTGCACGTGCACCCAAGATTGGCTGTGCCCCTCTTGAGATTGGCCGCCGCTGACACTGCCAGCAGCATCTGCAGGTGGTCACTGCTTGCCACCCCTCCACTGCTGGTGGCATCTGCAGGCAATCACTAATTGCCACCCCTGCCACCACTGTGGCTGCCTGCGGGTGGCCCCTGCTTGCAGCCACCACACCCCCACCACTGACACCGCTGCCTGGAGGCAGTCGTTGTGCCTGCCCTGTCTCAGGAGACAAGGTGTTCATGAAAGCAGCAATTCACTCCCTGCTAAAATCATTCTTGACTCTTTTATGCATACTGCTATCAAGTGTACCACTAGCAATAGTTAGCACTTGTTGGTTCTGTAGGATCGTGTCCTTTGCAAAATAGATTTGTTACCCACAGGTCACTGAACAGCAGAATATGTTCCTGTAGCACCTATGCCTCTCCGTCTTTTTACAATTGCAAAAATGAGACCTTAAGTATTATGAAAGTATCTGTGCATACTTATCCAATCATACTTACAATGTTGATAACTTGTAGAGACTGAAGGTTTGTTTGAGGTGGACATCCCATTGCAGACAGTGTAGGATACACTCCTTCTTCTAATACATACTGGTTTCCAGAAAAATCTTCTCTATCATATGCTATCCAGCTACAAGAAGTGATGATTAAATTATAATTAACCATTCCATTAATAAGTACACTTTTGCTAGCCCTTCTCAATTGTTTTTAGGTTGTAAATAGACTAACTTATAAACCATGCCAAGAAACATGGCTATCCTCATAAGAGAGTGGATTAAATGATGATACAATGAATCATGAAACATTACTGTTTTTCTTCCACTCAACTCCACCTGGGTTTGTGAAACTATTTCTGACTTTTGAAAGTTGTTATACTATTTTTATTTTAAATGATCATTTGCCATTTTGGTGTTTTTTATAATAATCATATAATTCTGTACTTACCTGCCAGCTAAAACCTTTGAAGATTTTGTAGCAAATGAAATGCCAGTGCGATTGGTGTTTCTCTCAACAATTTGGCAACTACCCTTGAATTCTGGTTCTGAGAATAACTGGACCTTTAATATTATAAAAACATCAACAGTTAAAAAAAGAGCACTTTATAATGTTAATAATATACTCAGCAGTATAGCAACTCACACGTTACCTCCAATGGATAGTTATAGTCAATTATTTTTAAAAATCCAGTATGCTTCAGTTTTGCAGCATACTTTTATGAATATTTCATTAACATAAGTAACATTTAAAAATGACCATTCAGTGAGTTTATTATTTTTGGCAGTAAATCATTTGGTAACATACAAAAGAATTCAACAATTACTGGTAAACATAAATATCTACCACAGCAAATTTTTAAAATTTTCCTTG